TATATATTTTTATATACGGAATGGTCGCGTATTCGCTTCTTGTCTCTTCAGTCAATTTCTAACGCAACAATGACGTTTGTTACAGTGTACCTCGTGCATTGTACATGTTTTTTTTATCACGTCGAGATCGCACTTATATGAATTAACGAGTATCTGAATATATATTTATTTTAATTTTTATGACAACTGTTTCAGCGAAAGATATACTGAATTTTTTCATAGAAAAAGAAGATGAAAACATGGAAAAATATTTTTTGCTGAAGTATCTAAAAATTTAGTTAGATATATTTGAAAATAATTTTGTTAGACCAATGAAAATAAATTTATAGGAGGAAAATAAACAGGCACGATGAATAATGCTGTAAAAAATTTTAGCAAACCAGTTTGAGCGTTCTACATAATTATTTTGATGATCCAACTAAATTATTTTCAGATTTGTATCTAGCTAAAATTTTAAATAATTTAACAAAACTGTTCTTTTCATGTATTATTTTTAAAACTAAAAAATCAAGATATAGCGTATTATTTTATTTTATTAGAAAAAATTTTTAGATAACGATTACTTTTGAATTCAATGATAAATTTTAAATGATGGGAATTATTAAACGTTTCTACAATTTACGTAATTTTATTGATTGGAGCAATAAGTATAATATAATGATAAAGCAATTGTATATAAATTTGAATTAATCAGTTTCTAATATACGATTGAAGAATATTTACCATCGCACATTGTATCACACGTATAGTTCTTAGGCCATTTTTCCTCTACAATCTGTGTCACAGCATCCACAAAAATCAGAAACAAAGATGTACCAAAAAGTTTATAGATAAATAACATTATTAAAAGTTAAAAAAATGTTTGAATTTTATTACAATGATTTATGCATATTATTTCTAGAATTTTTCCCATTTTAACTTTCTTTCTGACAACATCGCTTAGATTTTTTTTATTACTTCTGATTTAACTCTTTGAATGACAAATAGATTATGGACATTTCTTTATATATTGATTGACACTTTCATGTTGTTTTCTCTATGTTTAAAACGGACTTGTTAATAATGTCTTTATTGTATTTAATTTATCTTTTACATTGTTTTTCTTAATTTATATATTTCAACTTTAATGTAATCTGTCTGTTTCAATTTTAGCTTTTATTTTTTATTAACTTTATGTTTATTTATTAATATTTATATTTATTTCATAAGGTGATATCCAAACCATTCTCTTTTTATTTCATTGATTCAACTAATTATGCTAATTTTGTAACTTTTATCACTGCTGCTGAAAACTCTATGCAGTCAGAATGTTCAATATTCTTTAAATTTTTCAAATAAATAAAAATCATCTTATTTTAAACAATGCATATACATCAACATTATTTGTTAATGACCGTTGAGCTCTCCTAATTGAAAATAATTCCACTTTTTTAAGAGGATTCTACTTTCTATTTTACAGTTTGAGTAATATTGATGCCTCGACATTTCACTTCGAGGAATTTATTCAAGTTGGTCAAAGAATTAATTAAGGTTAATGGTTCTGGAACATCTTATATAATCTGCATCTCGATCGAACATCTCAGGGGAAAACTCGGAAGTTTCAAATTTCTTCTCCTGTTTCATAATTTAATTTATAAAATAATTTAATATAATTCATTAATGTCATAATAAAGCCAAATGTAATATCCAATAAAATTTCGACCTTAAATCAACATTTTTAGGAGTAACATCGATTTAGCGCTTATTGTTAGCTTTGTCTATGAGAGCTAGTAAGTGCCAAGAGGAAATATTTTCACGGTGCGTTCTGCGAGCTACCGAAAATAATACGCGACGTAAAGTGTGTGCTATGTCCATTTGTCTCTGACACCATAACACCATAACGTTTGTCGAGAACAGTCTTGAACACGAGAGATGACAGTGACGGCGACGCCACGAATCGGTTTCGACATCGATTCTAGGTTGTCGTTTTCCCATCACACGAAATTTCAATTCAATTCTCGAACAACGAATGAGAAAAGTCGTTTCTGAAACCGACCGCGGTTAAAGTGAGATTTTGTCACTAGCAATTCTCTTTTGATATAAAAAAAAAACACAAAAAGAGTAATATAATAAGAATACATATCAATGCATTTCTTTGTGTACCAATCGCATTTGAACAAAAAAATTGCTAAAATACAAGCATTGTGTTTTATATTCATATAATATCTTTATGTAATACATTTCTTGTATTAGAGGCATTGTAGATGATTTAAGGTTTCCAAGGAAAAAATTAATGGGGAAATATGGCATCCCTGCACAGAGATATCGCCCGGTAATTGCCACAGCTTTCGAAAATTCTCTTAAATATGACAGATGGGAGAACAGCCGAGGAACTCGACATGAATTTCGTAATGGATCCATCATAATTACAGGGGTGTATTTTCGGCTAATACCGCGTGAAAAATAACGAGAGGCTCTCGCGGAATGAAGGTGGTATTAATGATAAGTGAGGAAGTATCGAGAACGTATCGAGAATTGATAATTCAGACTGCGAGTCACTACGACAGTCACGTACACCGACTGATGGGCATATATACAGGTATATATACGGTATACATTGTGGAACCAGTTTGCAATCGGAATCAATACATTGGCGAAACGGTTCTCTAATATCCCGCTTTGATGTCTCGTCCGATTTTATCGAGCCCATCGATTGCTTCAAACACAAGATGGGAATTATACATGACAATCCCAGCGTGTTTGGAAAGCCTGATCAAAAGCGTCGCACAAGACAATCAAGAAAAAAACAGTAGACCGCTATGGAGAATTCACGAATAAGTGGAAAAGAGTTAGTAAAAATAAAAAATTGATTGATGGAAACGATTAGTATTCGGCTTTATGATGAAGCCTGATGGTGTGCTGTTCACAATTCCCGCGCAATCTTAGGAAAATCGCGCGAACCCATCCCACAGGGAGAAGTCCCATTATCTCTGACATGTCAAAAACTTGGACGAGAAGAGTCGGTGACTTTTCCCGATGCGGTATCGAGAGCCGGAGATTGGATCTGCCGGTGCGCCATGAATATTCACGAGGACGCGGATGTCATTTTATGCAGTTCATTCGGCGTTTTGGTGTAAGGTGAACCCAACAGTGGAAAGGTGCGATCACTGCTGGTTATTCGTGTATTAACCCTGAATAATTGAGAGTTTCGGTATTACCAGCGCTTGTTGATCGACCGTTCGATTCCCGATTGATAGATCGCCTCGAATTATGAATTCTTCGAACTCTCAACGGCTAATAAACTCGTCAGTCTCGATGGATTAACACTTCAATGTCAACGTGGACATTTTTGTTGAAATGGATCAGATCTCCGCAGATGCGCGCGTTCGAATAGAAAATCCATCAAAATTCGTCGATACCATCGGTCAATTCGAGTACAGCGCTCATTGTGGAATTGGTGGAGAAGAGCGCGTAATATTTCACGTAGCCTACTATCGTTGCAGGACCAAAGGAGCCGTTCGAGAGAGGCTTATTGCGCGGAGCCTCTAAAATATGCATCACCGACGGCGTTTACATGTCGAGATACGTGGTGCGCTATGTAACATGCAGCACGCCTTTACAGGCTAACGCGATGTACTGGTTGCCCGACGTATCCAAAATTCAAATCACGCGGCACTCTTCCTCGAACGACCCTTCGTAAATGTGGACGTATAAGCCTGTGAGATGTCGAAGGCGCCCATAGACATTGCGATTTTACGAGGGAACATGGCGACCGCACTGGCGTCTGGCAAGAAACTAGCAAGATATGCATATGCACCAAATGTATCAACACGTAATAAGACGATATTATCTAAGTGAAGAATAGACATAACAGCAAAGAGTGTCGATTTCGATTGATTATACGTAGCTGTTTCGACTTATTAAACTTATTCATGATCTACGATGAGATTTCTTAATTTCCTATTTAGATGATCAAGATGGATCATTAGGAGATGATTTGTCTATAATAAATACAAGAATATATCTAAATCGGCAAATTGTTGAAAAGTAGACGTCGAAATTGATGTGAAGATGTTATCCGAAGAATAACAGACTCCTATTTTTCCAGTAATCCGACAATAAAACCTCTGTTGATGGCTAAGTGTAATTGCAAAGGTATGTTCGACTAATCGATACGCGAGTGAAAGTGCACGCGCACCAGATCGACGATAATAAATATACGGGAACGAGAGCTTTCGAGACATCGAGAGCCCCGCTAAACGATTTAACGACAACAACCGGAAAAGTGTGCGTGTGATCCGTGAGAGGAAAAAGAAATGGAGTCTCGCTGTATAGATCGCCGTTACACGGGTGTCGCCCGACGAAAACGTTACGCGATGTCGTTTGGTCGTCCGTGATCGAAGTAGAGTCGATCTTGACTACTTTTCTTCCGTCGTCAAAAACGAAACAAACGTAGGACAGTCAGCAGTGGCGCCGAGAGTATAAAGTATCAACGGAAAGTATACTTACAAAAAAGTAAAGACGTATAATACGTGTAGATATGTAATATATGCAGTGTAATATACATCATAATATACATCAAAATATACATTGATTTTATATCAAATCATTAATAAGATAATTCTGTCATTAAATAATAAGGTATTACTTACTAATTGAAAATACAACTTGAAAGCTAAAGCTAAAAAAAATTTTTACAAGTAAAAAATTGCAATAAAAATATAAGCTAAAATTCCTCGATAAATTAACTTCAAAGTTTTCGACTTGGTAACATAATAAAAATTTTCCATCCGTTAGAAAGTAATTTTAATGAAAGTAATTTAGCGAAAATTAAAGTCTTAAGAAGTGAAAAAATTTATACGTGATTTATTTTAAACACGTGTCCTGTGAGCTTTTATTCCAAGCTAAATGTATACTGTGTATATATTACATATCGTGTAAACAGTAACAATTCCAACCGAAAAGAAAGGAAGAGGTGTGTCTGGCTGGTGTGCAGGCAGGCATGCTAAGAGTTACGTTACCTAGGGTGAGCTTCTCGCCGGAATCGGGCGGCAGGGTGAAGCCCAGTAGGGCCATGCTCGATATCAGCACGCAGGGCACGATCAGGTTGAAAAAGTAGTAGAGGGTTCTCCTGCGTATCTGTATCGTGAATGTGACATCAACGTACGGCTCCGGGCAGCATTGATATATTAACGTGTTCTTCTTTCCCGGCATACCTGGAAAAAGTGCCAGCACCGATGTACACGCCGACATATCTGTCCAAGGGACTACATATGACATGGATACATTTCAATATGGCGGAGTATAATCGCTTGCCTATCGATTGCACTCCTCGATTACGTTCCAATCCTCATTTTCTTTTTTTTTTCTATGCTTGCTATTATATTCCGACCCTATTTTTCGTTCTTCTGCCGAGAACATAATAAACCGCTTGCCTATAAGTATATCACTACCCCTATATCTCTTTATTATTGCTACCTTTTGTCTTCTTTACTTTTTGTTATTATATCTATATTGTCTTGAGAGGATTAAAATCCCAAGTCATAAAGTTTGGATCTATCTATCATCCATCCATCTGTTTTATCGCGAGGCTACGTGAACTGATGAAAGAGCCGTAAATGTTGTCAAATCATGGCGGCACCCAGCACCGAAAGATTCGTGCGAGCGAGTCACGTCGATCTTTCTGTAACAATTTTTCTATGGTTCTCGCGGCCTTGTTTTAAACTACCTTAGGATTACGACTCGACTCATAAGGAACAAAAAGACCTTATGGATTTGCGAATTTCCGCTTCCGTTCCAGTCCATTGCGATGAGTTAAGCTACTGGTAAAACAAAACTTGCCATCCTCGCGAATTTTAAATACGATGCACCTATCGACTTAGTACATTTTCTCGAAGAAAATGTACTAAAAGCTAAAGGAGACCTTTGACCGTTCTATATGTTTTTCGTAGATGGAGGATTTCTTAATAGCTTCCGATCGGACGGACTCTCGAATCGATCTCGAACATCGCGGTATCGGACACTCACTTGTTGCTGTACCTTGTGGCTCGTACCTCAGAACACTTTTTCTTTGTATTTCGCGTGGACCACGCTCGATGCACCTGCCTCGAGATAAGTAACGTGTTTCCGAAAACACGACTTTAGGGACGACACTCTTAATTACGTCGAGGTGTCGATTGTGTCGACTACCAACACAGAAGAGCATCGAATGTATCATTTTGTCGGAGCAGGTCGAAGGCATCGAACTGTGTTCAGGCGTTTTATTTTTTGACAACGTAATTGAGTACACTTTGCCTCTATCACTTCTTAAACAGCCAGAGTTTTATTAATTAGCTTCAAATTTTTCTTCCATTTATCTCTTTCACTTTGCATAAAAAAAGATTACTTCATTCACTTCCATTAGATTCATTAATAAAATTATTAACAGAAATATAACTGTATATATCATTCATTTATTACAACAACACAAGTAAAAGAAGTTTTCCAGAAAATAAGTTTGAATATTTTGAATCATTAAAAAATTTTGTAATTAATTTTATTACAACTCGATTAATTTTAAAATGCAATTTTAGTGTAAACAGTAAGTATTACTATTTATTACTAGATATAGATAGATAAAATGTTTTTTTTTAATTATTTCTTTTTCTCTTTGTTTCCACTTTTTTGCAAACAATAAAAAAATTTCATTTTTTAATTAATGAAAAATTTTAAATTGTTGTATCATTGTTATAGTAAACAAGCAATATGTTTCAATAAATTATTTTAACTAATAAAGCACAATGTTATTTTTTATATTTTCATTTCTTTTTCTCTCTTGCAGTTCCGTTTCAGGAGAATGCACTCCTCTTTTAAAGGATCTCTCTCTTGTGCGGAAATCTTCAGGGATTTTTTTCAAGATGCTAGACCAAGACTATTATAGATTCTATCTCTCTTTACAGTTTTGGCGTGTCGACAGTCCCGAATCCGCTTCAAGAAAACCGTCGTACATGAGAATAGCACTTTCCGATATGTGAGCTCAAAGAATGGAGTCGTAAAAGAACACAGTCAATAAGTGACGGGTAGAAAAAAGAAGGAATACAGAAAAGAAAGAGCGTTATGCTAGGTCGCTATAGAAAATCACCGCCATAAAGTCATACGCCATTGCGGCATCACCGAGACATGGAGGCTTCATAAAATCTTTCGATTTCTATTTAGTCGCGACATCGTGATTTCACGCAAAACGAGGAACTCTAGGATGACATCAACGGAGAGGAATAAGAGAAGAGAGAAGCAGAGGGGAGGAGTTGTGGTTTCTTAACGGCTTCCATCAGCATTCCTTTACACACCAATGACGCTGTTTCGTATCACCAATGAAATTTGCGTTCCAGAATCCAGCTGAGAAGCTGGAACGAATCAGGGTGACAGAGATTTTGTTTAGCAATATATCCCCTCTTCTTTTATAAAAGCCAGAATTTATCGCAGAAGGTGGCTCTAGAATAAATATCAGGATGAAGATTATAAAAAAATATATAGAATTTAAAAAATATTTTCGCTGAATAAACAAACAGTAATATGATTCAAGATAAGAAAGAGGAAATTATTCAGTTTTTTAAATAATGATATTTTTTTTGACAGAGTTGAGATGCAAATATGTTTATATTCGTGAATATTTAATAAACCGATTTGGAGACAGTCATAACTTGAATTGTGTATTCGTATTATTTCTTGCGATGCATTCAATATGTGATGCAAAGCCAGTCGGAAGCAGAGAACGAGCTCGTTAAGTTGTAAGTACAAGTCTCGGAAATGAAGAATGGCTTTTAAAAAGTATACGATTCGTGGTCTCATGCCTGCGTTTCGTATTGAACACAACCTGAATTAATAGTTATCTTGTCTGCGTATGTAGTAAAATGCGGATGAGAAATTATAGCTTTTAAAAAGTATACGATTCGTGATCTCATGCCTGCGTTTCGTATTGAACACAACCTGAATTAATAGTTATCTTGTCTGCGTATGTAATAAAATGCAGATGAGAGATTATACATTTAGCTGTTGAGATGTGGCCGCGTAATTACTGCCCGAAAATAGAATCGTTGAATTCCATAATAGCTCCTTGCAATATATTATTGCATTCTATTCGTAATTCCGTTCCCATTCCGTACTTTCACAATGTACACGCTGTACAAACAGATTCGCAAATTGCGACGGATTAACGGTAGATGTATGTATATATCATTGTGCATACGTGCCGAGAACACACCAGGATGAAGTCTGAACGCGAAACGGCCAGAGAGAAAATTTAAATTATGTCAAACTAACTTCTTTCTTTTCTTCCATATCTATATTAATCATTTTTTCTTCCCAAAATAATTTTATGGAAGTGCAAATAAAATCAATTATTATGCGTACACAGAGAAAAATGTAAAGTAATATGCGCTAGAATTCTAGTAAATTTCATTAGAATCAGCAAGTCCATATATATAGAAACAGGCGCCTACTTGTGTTAAAATTTGCGTTATTTGTTTTATGCAATTGTCGTATAATCATGTAAGGTATTTTTTTATATTTTTATAAATTTCGAGAGTTGTTCGTGCTTGAAAATAATACGATTTACTAAATTGTATTTTATTGTAAAGAAAATTATATAATAGTAAATCGAATGGATTTATAATTGTAATGTACTTTTTACCTTATCTCTCCAACATTTTTACTTTCAGGCAAGTAAAGTTTGTCAAAAGTTTAGCAAAGTATTTAATACAAAAAATAGCTAGAATATTTTTACTAGTCTTGTAAGGTAAAAATTATTCAACTGTTCTTTGTTCCATGTAGAAAGGAAAATATATACTAAAAAGTATGAGTGTGAATTTAACACCATGAGTATTAAATATCCATGGTGTTAAATTCACACTATGTTATGTTGATGTTTATATCAACACTAGTGCGGTGAGAATTATAACATCGCATAGTATAATATTTATATTAATTTTTTATATAAATTTAATAATAATTAAAGAGTAGCCTTTTGACTGATATTTCACCGTTAAAATAACACATCAATCAAACTTTGGTTAGAATTTCATCTCCAATCAGCAATTTTTATGAGAGACAAAGTGTCATAAACAATCGTTGATATCTTAAGCGTTGCTCTAATATATATCTGTTTTAAATAAATGTATTAATCAAATAAAATTCTTAAAAATTTTTATTTATCCTTTATATATATATAGATATATAAAGATACTTTATATTTGAATCAACGTTTTATACTTCCGCATTCACTGTAGAATCCATTCATTAACGCGCGATCGAGTCGATTCGAGATTTTATTCTTAGCCTTCTATAGGCACGTTCCTTTACGCACACAAATACAGACACAAATACACGTGCCAATACAGAGGCAAAGTCTGATTGGCCTGACAGGTAAACTTGCTCAATGAAACTCACCGATGAGGTACCATTCCCCGTTCATGATGAAATCGGATAAGTCACCACCCTCCTGTGAGTTGAGTACCAGATCGAGCTACCAAGGTCAAAGTTTGATTAAGACGGGCACGTATCTACATGATAGGGACATTCCGTTAGGTAACTCGAAGCCGAACGTACGCATGCAGCTATGAATTCCGCTTGCATCTACATCTACTCTACGAAATGATGCATTCGCAAACCAACGTTACATGATAAGGCGTGCAATGGGAGAATCCGCTCGGCCGTGGGACGGTGCGAAGAAGAGACGATGATTTCTCTCTCGTGAAGCAGCGCACCGTGCGCGCCTGGAAAAGCGCGTTCGTGCGGCCGACAGGCGGAAAACTGGCTCTTTATCGTTGCTGAAAATTGCTTTTCACGTGGTCAAGAACTTCTCATTTCTGACGAAGTGTTCGTAACTTCGTCGGCTCCGCCACGAATGCGTAGCAATCACATGGCCGCTTTACGCGAAACTTGTATCGTGCCGTTATAAATGTTTAATAAAGCAACATTCGTATATATATATATGTACCACTTCTGCAAAAGTTGGAAAAACGGAAATTGATTGATTTTAACTTTCGAGGAGCTATTCAGGCTATTATATATCTCGATACAAAATTTTCCAATAAGTTTAATAAAGGTGTTAATCTAAGAGCATTGCAAAAAATAAAGTCAATAGTCTTTATTTTTGTCGTATCATATATTTTCCTTACGATAAATATTAATTTTCAGAATAATTTGATTCATGTATAATAGATATGCCGCTTATAATATTACTTGGCACAGATATTTTAATGTCTGATAAGACATGATCAAAAGATTGTACAGTCTACTACTTGTCTACGCGGATATCGCGCTGTACAATCATATTAAAGTAATTAAAACAAAATCTTGAACAAAAGATTCCTGTCGCTTCCATCTCTTCTCTTATCTACACGAGGAGGATTGGAGGACGGGAAATAAAGTGACGATGTCGGAGATACCTTGAAAGGATTTTCCAGTCTTTTTTAAGTCCCGTATCGCTCGCCGTGTCGGATATCTGTTGCTCTTTGATCTAGAGCCAAATAGGATATGGTTTGGCTGGTTCCCATGGGCCATCGAAGGCTTCAAAAGAGCCCTTTTTCGATGAATAGAATTGCCCTGGGCGATTCAATATTTAATCATTTACAGAAGCGCGTTATCGCAGAAAGATCTACGTGAATCATAAACCGAATGGGATAATTTTATGTAAACTCGTAAGTACTTCGATATTTTCATATACAAGTCTTGCAAACGCCTTTTCGTTCTTTTTCGTTTTTCGCGATACCGGCAAACGTTATTTCTTGAACGAGAGATATTATTATTCGTAAAGACGTTATTTTCCAATATTCCTGGGCACAATGAAAGTAAAACGAATTTGATAAGACTTCAATAGTCCTCGATGCACTATTTTCGAGCAGTACATCTTCTTTTTCTGAATATATGCAAAGATCCGCTCGTATACTGAGAAAATTGTAAAAAGGTTCTCTTGGGATGTAGCAATCACATTTGCAGTTCGATCGTCACCGTCGATTACGTCGCATTTATTTTCTCATTCTCGAGAAGATTTCTTATTCGGTCATCGACTTGTCCAATCAAATCAATTCGTTCATCGTCTCGCCATCGTCTTTTCTCTTTCCCGTCCAAATTGATCTCTCTCTCCTCTTGTCTCTCTCTCTCTTCTTACCTCGATTATCTCCCGTAATAATTCCCGGAATAATTCCGACGAGCAAACGCCGAATTGCCAGTTATAGTGGCAAATGCTTGTATCGTGAAATTCGTAGCGAAAATTACGACAGAAACACCGGATTCATAAAGTTAGCCCCTCATGATTCATTGCGACACGTATATTTTGCCTTCATAGCCCAGTTCAACCCTTATTCACGAAGCGGCTACATGTGGTTTACTACGCCAACGTGATGCATCGGGAATGGACGTCTCAAGATGTAAATACACTGGCTGTGGAGCGGCGCCGCAGCCCTTTTAACTAATTAAATTCAATCTTCATATATAACGCCTCTTATCCGACAGGCTTAATCAAGCCGATGACGTTAAGAAGTGGCCCCGGAGGGTCGGCTTCTTGTATGTGCATTCGAGTGCCTCGTCTAATAATCATAGCCTCTCGGGTGATTACATTTGGGAATGAGTCGCTTTTCGCTGTCGACCGCAGATCCCATCTGTAAAATCTAGAATCGTAACCGGTATAATTGTGAGCCAGTTTCGATTTTCCGCGTACGGATGTACCTTACAATGTCGTGCTTCTATCAATTTGAATAAACGTTGCACGGTGGAGTATCCCTGTATAAATACGTAATACCGAAATATGAACCCATCTAAATTATATCGGTTTCAATTCACACTGCAAATGAATGCATGCATGCAAACATTAATTAGTAATCAGTTAGAAATGACGCTTGACGTCATTTCAATTGCAACGTAAACGATAATTAAATGAACGCTCCGGTATCTTTAGAGGTGTACGGAGGTTACAGACTCGATCTCCGAGAGACCATTCTTTTTATTCGCGAAACTCTCTGAAATATCGACGCTACACGGTCGTTTTAGCGACCGTCAGCTTGGAGAGCTTTCAAGAGTTACTCGCGCATTTCTGAAGATGTGATTTTACGAAATAAGACACATCGAAAAAGTATGACGGCAGTGGACTTGATGCAGAGGAAGGATCGTCACGGTCGAAGCACCAGTCACGCTCGTGTCTCGCGACGTACAATCGCGACTATAAACGTTTAAAGCCGATTCAAACAGTGAGCACAATTAATCATGCTCTCTCTTATAGCAAAAAGAGTCACAGTAATGTCACAACAAAGTCTTAGTGACGAGCGAATGGTGGCGCTTTGTCACAGTTGTTTGTGATATCGCTACGATATCATGCAACTGTGATAAAAGTTACCTCTTACTGGACACTTTTGTGACATCAAGATAATAATATGATGTCGCTGCGACCTTTCAATAATCTCACAGTAACATCATAATTTATACATGATTATTGTGAATTCATTAGAATGTGAATGTAACTTTATTTGCTATGGAGGCTTTATTAACGAGTTTACATTCACGAGTTTACACGAACTCACATTCAGGCGTTTACACATGTATACACGTACAAACATACACGCGCATGTTTCCTCTGTGATCAGGAATCGAAACTGCGAGCAGTAATTGTTTGGCGAGTTCCATTCTCGAATGCTTCGGACATGAAGAGTGCATTTTACTCGCGCGAATGATCGCGGAATATGTATTTGAAAATGATTTTCGCAATCGGACGGCATCGTAATCCGAACTCGCCAAAATTACTCGGGTTTCAATCCCTGTTTTGTAGTTTACCGATGCGCGAACACGTACACACGAACACGTGACATGGGAGAACGGGAGTGGGAATCTGTGTGTTAGCGGTGGAACATCACCTACGCGCCGTCAAGAAAGCATGCAAGCTACGCCGCGCCACGACACGAAACGGCCATTAATTTCTGTACATATATATACACACACATGACATGCGACACACACACTGTACAGACATATCAATCAATAACAGTTGATGTTGATTCGTTGAGTGACGGAGGGCGAAATGGATCGAACAAAGTACGGGTGTACGACATATAGACGACAAAAGTCTTCAAAGTTTGGCATAAATACAGATATATAATTTATATGTCATATGGGGGGTGGGGAGAGCAATCGATATGAGTCGAGGGCAGGGGGGGAGGCAAGGAGAGACAACGTTTATATGTGGTAGAGTAGTAGAAATGCGCTCGGACTGCATTTCAATGGGGGCAGTGCAACCTGCAGCGACGGTGACGGCGATGCAGCGGCGCGTAATCGGGAAGTCGAAAACGGACTATGCGTTTCGGCACCTATCCCATCGGAAACCACGATGGATTACAGCGATCGTAAATTTCGCGAAACGCGTGCGTGCGTGCGTGCGAAAACGTGTATTGGGTGTCCTCGCCATTGTCGAGAATTTCAGCCCGATTGGATTGAGTGTCTAATAGCCGCATTTTAATTGATCCCCGTCCGGCCTTTAACGAGCCCTACAAATACGTTTTCGGAGTTCATTGGAAGTTTCTGAAAAATCACAGTTGCGCCATTGATGAGAGAAGTTCCTCGGCGGTTCCTCGTGACGAAAAAAAAAAAAAGAAAAGAAAAAGGACCCTCGTTGCATGCAATTGAATTGTTCCGGTCGATAAAGCTCGACTTCCTCGACAAAGCCACAATTTAACGAGCGAGACTTCCGAATGTTTTTCAACATTTTGAATTCACCGAGAAGGACCGAAGTGAACTCGCACGAGAAACATGCAAACGAGCTCGGTATTGATCATCGAATTTCGGACCGATCGTCCCGCTCGTAAACTAAATTCGCGATATCGTATTCCACGGGCGCGCGCATATATGCACGCGCACGTGCGTACGCAGTTTGTGCTTTCCGCAGTTCGGGAGAGTCGTTCCTGCGTGATATTGAACGAGGTAAGGGCCAACCAATATACGGCCTATCGCATCGTTTGATTCCTCCTGTAGAGCGTGATCGATACGCGGCGCCGCTAAAATATGCAACAAAAGCTTCTTTTCTCATTTCACGCTAACATTTTAGATCCCGTAAAATAGGGAGGACGAAGATGAAACGTTATTTCCCCGACGTAAAATTCGTAAATCGCGACCTCTACCAATACTTTACGCTTTATCTCGATTTTTTTTTTAAGTACGACGCGAGAGATGATATCCATGAGATATTTCGCTCGTATAAAATAGCGCGCGACGTATCATGAAGTTACAAAGGTCACGCGTGTTCATCGGTCGGTTGGGCGGACCTTTTTTTTTCACGCGCGAAATCGCAAAAATCGAGTTAAAATTAAAGAAGACGAGAGAAAAAGAAAGAAAAAAAAAAAGAAATTCTATCGCTACCACCGCGCCGTATGCTGCACTGCGAAAGAAGGGCGGCGGTAATGGGCACCGCCCGACATTGCGATGTACCTTTATGGACGTGGGGAGTTGGGGGTTTTACGATTCTTTACGATCTACAATTCT